TTCTTTGAGCCTCAGTGCATTTTACAATGACTAGAAGTTCGGGTTTATTCTGAACGCAGGTGGTTGTCCTGGAAGGGTTTGGAGCAGCTATAATCAGATTCAAGTTTTACAAGGTCTCTCTGGTGGCTGTGTAGACCATAACTGGAAGGGCTAAGAACAGTGGCAGGAAAGCCAATCAGGTGTTTGTGCCAGTGTTCCAGATGAAAACCCACAGTGACTAGGACAGATTCAAGACAGGCTCCAGAAGCAAAGCTTACCTGTCTTGCTAAGGTCATGGCATGGGGAGTTGGCATGGGAAAATCCAAGACTGATGACTGGGGTGTGACTCTGTGACTAGGTGGATGATGGTACTGTTGACCATTTGAGCACCAGTTGTATGTCTCTTCAGGGTCAATTTTACTACAACTTCAGTTAAGTCAGTTAAATAACAAAGTAAACTGGGACATCCTTTTTACAGTGAAATACAGTAAGCAACTCCTCTGCTTGTAGTGCCCTCCCAAAATCAAGGATCCTTAGAAGGCCTCTGTTCAAATGTCTATATCTAAGGGAAGGGGGAGTTCTCTGAGCAACCTCCCTGTGCAGTGCAGTGAGCTCCTCTGCCTGTGTTCTCTTTACTCTCTACCTGTTATGTCTCCTTCCCCTCTAGAGTGTAAGGTTGTCCTTGGCAAGCATCTTGTTCCACTTGCATGTCTCCTTGCACTATGGCCACGTCTAACCAATAGAGGAGAGTGATGAGTAGACACATACACAATGCACCAGCTGGGTCAACATTCAGGTTATATGTGAATTTTTAATGAAGAACAGAAGAACCCAATGAAGTATCATCTGTCTGTCACACAGAATCCCCTGCACTGTCTGTGGCTGCTTTTTATCTCCACCACCACCACTGTCTCCTCCCTGCACACTCCCTGCACAGTAAACTAGCAGGCAATTCTGCCTCTGTGACTCTCAAAGAGATCAAACGAGCTCCTTGGCAAAGCTAACACTTCTCTAATACCACAAAACCTTTAAAAGAATAAACTCAAACTAATAAAGTTCACTTCCAAAGGTGAGAACGGGGCATTAGGGAAAAGTTAGCATGCCTTTCTGTTCCTTTCAGCAGAGAACAGACAAGCGTTCTCCACTGCACAATGAGACTGCATCCAGGATCAGAGCCGTGTGGACCTCTGTTTTGCTGGGCAGAGCCTACTTCAAGGTCTTCCTCTCACAGATGGTGAAGCACCTGTATTACTGTGTTGGTGTGAAACTGAAACTGACATGCTTCCACTCCTCAATAGCATCTGTCACATCAACAAGCTTCAGGAGACTGGTGACAGCTGGTGGACAACAGTATTAAGGCAACAACAATAATACACGAAATACCAGGAAGCTCAAGGTCACAGTCGTAAGGGTGATCATGGCAAAGGGAGAAACTGATCACCTATGGTCTTCATCCATTAAATGACAAGTTAGTGTATTTCACTGGCTAAATCCAGGGATCTGACAGTGATCTATCCTCTCTGTCAAAACCTCTGCCACCCAACTACTAAAATCAGTAAACAAGTTTTGTTTAATTTTTCTAGAACTGGATTATCTACTTATTGCTTTTTTTAGCTGCACACTTCTGCTGCTGTAAGGAAATTCCAAATGTCAAGTAGGTCAATGATAAAATGAAAAACTTTAAAAGAGACACTGTGACAAGATTGCTATAGTTAAGAACATGAATATTAACCGGAACCCCCCTGCAGTATTCATCAATAGTTACGACTTGTTATTTTAAGTCCCAAAGGTTTTCATCGACAAAGCCCTATATATAACCAGAGATTTTGACGGGTTTGTTTTGTTCTTTTTCTCAATACCTACTACTTTTTTTTTTTTCCTTTAAAAAAATGAAACCAAATGAGTTCCAGAGGCAAGGACGAGAGTATTAGGTACTAAGATTGTCATTAAGTCCACAACTTGACTTAATTCCCCACTTGCTGCCATTATTAAATGAAGTCATATGGTCAGATAAAAAGCTGAGATGAGTTAGGTGTGTGGGGAAGGGGTAAGACATTCCTCAAGTCTTGTTCTTTGATGGCCCTCATCACACTTCACACAGACTTTCACATGTTGCTCAATTTCAAGTGTCATTCTCTTTCTTCTAACTTGAGCTAATAACAGTGGTAAAGAGACAAGTGCAGCCCCTTAGGCAAAGTTTATTAAGGAGAGGGCTCAGCACAGGAGCCCTGTCCAGCCCTGGGGCATACTGCATGTTCTTGATGTACTTCCCTCTATGTTAAAGAGGCTTTTCTTCTTTTCCTTAGTCAGTCTCAAAAAGGAACTCACTCCCCAGTTACAGAGTGACTGTAACATAACTGTAGCCACAACATCAACGCCACCTCTGCTGTGCTAACTTAAAAAACCTTTGCCAAACTGCTGTGACTCTTCTATTTGTGAGAACAGACTCAAGGCAATTAAAAAGGATTATTTTAAAATGTTCTTGACTTAAGAAAATGGACAGGAATTTATGCACATGTATAAATGTCAATTGGCTTCAGTAGTATGAATAGGAATAAGTTATACAGATCACTGTGTTTTGGATAACAAATTCCAAGCTTCTTCCAAGGATATGGCTACAACTGATGAAAATGGCACGGGTGTGTATACAAAGGTGAGCACAAGGAAGTACATGTGTGTGCATGTTTGCGTGCATGTACAGTAAATGTAGATACTGGGCACAGACACAGATAAACAAGTATAAGACTGGACAGTGTTGGCTGAAAACAAAAGGAAGGGCACTGGCTCAGCTGTACCTCCTAAGTTTGTTGGGGTTTCACAGTCTTTAAAAAACAAAAAATCACCAGCAGCACAATTTCTATTGAGAAGGCTTAAAAAAAAAAAAAAAGTTCCACCCCCTTCCTAGACAACTTGAAGCAACACAGTCTAAGAATATAAATAATTGTGTTACAAAATTTACTATTATGTAAAAAAAAAATGTAGAGAGCAAAGACCCCTGAATTCTACAGAGTGAGTGCTCATTAAATACCCTTGAGTATCTGAAGCTATTTAAAAGCTATTAGATTGGCACCTGGAACCCCCCCCAAAACATCTACTTTCCCCCGGGATGGAGAGGCTGTGCCTCTTTAATCATCCCCTAAATGCAAAGAGGTTTGACCCCCATGCAATAGATAAAAGTCACCCAAAAAATGAACAAAAGAGGTGTTTGGAAAAAGCAGAACACCATTCATCCCAGCTAACGACTTGTTCATTATGAGTGATGATGGATAAAGACTTCTCACGCTGAGATGAAATCAAGATTTATATGCATTGTTTCCTCTCCCAACTTGTGGGAAGATCATCATCATTTAATTCTATCTCTGCGGCCAGTGATGGGCATCCAGAGAGCTGGTTATCAAACGGCGCAGTCAGCTGGCAAAAGCCGAAACGTGCAGTTGGCACATCTGGACGGAGCCGCCACAGCCGAGGGTGAACAATGACTCCTGGCAAGCATCCAAATTGCTTGCAGACGCTAGCAGGTCTCATCTACAACCGCCCCTACCAGCATCTCTCTCTCTCTCTTTTTTATGAGAATCAGATTTTCATTGCTCCATTCAATTGCTCTCCTCTGCCATTTTTTACAGCTCTTATCGTTCCCCTGGAATATGGCCTTGAGACAGCTCATCCGTGTCCTTCACTGTGTTATCTCTTCTAACTTTTATTAAAACTTCAGCTTTCATCTGAAGATAGCTAATTAAATCTGGAACAGATTATATGCCTCCCCTTAAAAAGAGAACACAACTATTTTCTTCAAGCTGTGCAATGCCCCTTTCCTTTCCAAAAGGTGAGCTCAAAGGTGTTTAAGAAGTCTCTTCACTTAGGAAGCTAAGATACTTGACTTTCCATATACATTCTGACTTTAGTATAGCAGTCTGTTATAGATAAATCTTTCAATTATTTTTGAAAATAATTTTCTTTTTTTCCCCATAATATTTTTATTGATTATTTGAGAATTTCACATCATGAACCGTGAGCAAACTCACTTTCTAGTCCTTCCAGGTCCATTCTCCCACCCATATGATCCCCTCCCCCCACAAAGAAGAGGGGAACAAGTCCAGTTTGTGCTCCCCATATACTCACTGGAGCACGGTCAAACTCCTGGTGGCCAGCCCCTTAAAGATATCTGAGTCTTCCTCTACCTCCCCAGCCCCAGCCCCAGCCAGACAGCTATCAGTTGTGGAAAGCTAACTCTCAGCATCCTAATCACACTTTTTAAGAGCTCTTTCCAGTGGCTTTCTGCCTAAGCTGTTATCTTTTCTTGAGGGGTAGGGTGGGTTGGGGAAACTGTTTCTTAATATTGGTAATATTTGTGTTCTGTATCTATATATATATATATATATATATATATATATATATATATATATAGCACAAACTATTTTCTACACAATGGTCAGTTAATGAGGAATTAGAGATTAACAGCTAAATGGGTGCATCAAACGATTTATCTTTTTAAAATCATTTTTGTAAGATTGCCCTCACTTAGTAAAAAAGAAGATAATGTCCTTCTACCCCCCAAATATCCCAAATCTTAGTCAGTGAAAATACTCTTGAGTAAGACTGTGTAAAAACATGAAGTCAGAAATAGTGATTCAAGCTTAAGGTTTTGTTTTGATTCCGTGGTGCTGGGAACAGAAGCTGGGACCACACACATGCTAGGCAAGCACTCTGCCACTAAGCTATGTCTCTAACTCCTTGGTTTGGATTTTAAGACAGGTTTACATTAATGGTAAACACAAGTAGCTCCGACTTAATTTACTACAACTGATTTGAACATGTTCTTCTCACATGACCACTGTTCCTTGAGGCCCAAAGAAAGCTTTAAAAAGTCATTTTTCCTCTAAACTGTAGGCTTGCTAATCAGCCTTCTAGAAAGGATATCCACAACACAGGATATCAACAACAACAACACGCGCGTGCACACCCCCCCCCCTTTTAAGTAAGTGTTAAGCTTCTATTTCTGTGGTATAATTTAACTAACCCACCTGAAATTTTTTGGGATCCTTTTCTTCGCTTCACTGCCTTTAGCAGAATCTCCTTCATGGTGACCTTCGTGTTGTCCACCTGGATAAGGGAGAATCCATGAGCAGCATTTCTACAGGAAAAGACAAGTGAAGGAGTTATCACTACAGCCTTCACTATACCTGGGAAAGCTTCAAAGCAACAGCACAGGAAAAGAATGTCAGTAATTATTTTGGAGAAATCTGCCGGGCAGTAGTGGCACACACCTTTAATTCTAGGACTTGGGAGGTAGAGGAAGGCAGATCTCTGAGTTTGAGGCCAGCCTGGTCTACAGAGACAGAATAGCCAGGACTATGGATGGAAACTCTCTGGAAAACCAAACCAAACTAACCAAATCCTATTTCTAAGGTGTCTGTGAGGGAAATCTAACATAAACAGCACCAACTGAAACAGTCAGAGATAGATAGTAAAGGCTTTTCTAGAAGATTGCAGACTGAACCTAACTGGTCTTCTGGGGTCAGATGAAGCACAATTCCCAGTATTGGCTTGGGAGCCAAATCCTACAGCAAGGATTGACAACTGACAGCACCTGACTTATGTCAGTAGATGTCACTACAGGTAGATACTATCATCACAATAAGCCCCTAGGTACCCCAGAGAAAAAGAAAAGGCTCTTAACTGTCTAGTAGAACACCAGTCTGTCCATCTATCTTTTGTTGTTGTTATTTTGGTTTGTTTTAAGACGTTCTCACTATATAAAACCAGGTTGGTATCAAACTAACAGAGCTCCACCTGCCTCTGCCTTCTAAATGCTGGGATTAAAGGTGTGCCCCACCATGCCTGGCCCATACAGCTTTTAATATACAATCTGTGTATACATCACTATAAATGGTTTATTCGTTCAGCCCTAGAAAAATCAAACTAAATATTAGTTTAAGCAAAAATAAGACAAAATGCTAAAACTACCTGCAAGCTTCTAGTCAAATTAGATTGGAGAAGGTTCATCTAGATTGAAAAAGGGAAAAAAAAAAAAACCAGCAAAGAAACAAAACAATAAGGATGCTAAGAAAACAAAGAAGCAACAACAACAAAAACCCAGTATACCATCACCTACGTGAGATGTACCTTCACAAAGATTGTTAATTACAGTGGCAAGTATAATAAATACTACCCCTTACATTTGGGCACTGGAGCAAAACAGATTAATTCTAAGCAGCTCGTGTAAAAAAATGGGACCCAGGTTTCCAATTGCAGAACATGAGAATTGCTACAAGGAGTTTGGTCATATTCCCATTTCCCCATAAGAATTTCAAAGGGGAACATGGCCAAAAAACATGGTAGAGCTTGATACTGACAAGAAACCTGAAAGAAAACCAAGCCTGAGAAAGCCGCCTTTCCAATGGTAGATCAGGCAGGGACATGGCCTGAAGCCCAGGTTAGACCCATCCAGGTGGCTGATCTCAAAACCAAGAACCCAATTTGTTTCCCTAACCCAGAGAGACCTCTCAACAGTGCTTGTCTCCATATAGTGTGCTCTTTAATCCTTGATGTTGCATTTGTTAAAAAGCAAAAAGCTGATGCTGCTCCGGCCAGCAGAACCATCCATTTTTTAACTTGGTGAAGTTCTTACTTTTGAACAGCAGGCCTGAGAACTGTCAAGCTAATTTTACTCAGCACTCTGTTACTGAATCATGCCTGCGCCCTAGCCATTCTTTACCTCAGAAGCTGGACCCCGTCCCAGAACAATCTTTAAAAGTTTATTTTACTGATCAAAGCAAAATAAGAAATAGCTCTTAAAAAAAAAAAAACTATTTTGGGAGAGATGCTGTAAGTGATACTTTGGCAAGAATGCTGATATATAAAGAGCCTTGTGCATTTAAAAACTTGCGGGTGTTTGCTCTGGCACTAGGCCAATGTGTATTTGGAACAAATGCCAATCAAGCACACTCAGATCTGCCTTCCCCGGCTTTCTCCTCAGAAGTCAGTATGTCCTCCATCTGTGACAGTATGTTGGGCGATGGATGAGTTGGGCCAAAAGGAAACACAAGTTCTTGGGGATTTGCAAACTAGTACTGGCCCAGGCCTCACAAACTCTCATCCACCTGGGAGCAACCTGAACAATGGTAGAGTTTGCCTGTTTATAAACTGTGCACTGGCTCCTGTTGTGCGGCCAGATGACAGCACCATTCCAAGGCAGTACTCAACTTTTCGGCAAAGGGCAGAGTGAAAAGCTTACTAGGCAGTTTGATATCTGGGCTAACTTCCATAAATTCAAAGTGTCCTTTTAGAAGTATTGAAGCAGAGGAAACCTCCCCACTCCCCGTCTGTATTTTTCTGTCATTTTACCAAAACATACCTGGGTGCCAAGGTTAAAGCAAGCAGAGGAAATCCCTGGCACTTCCCATCCACAGGCCCTACTGATAAATTGTGTGGCAGAGGAATAAAGGATTACCTTCTGTATTTTTTCATTACACTTTTCTTTTGTTACAGAATACATAAATCCATTGTGGCACAATGTAATATGTATCACCATGCTACACCTGCGGACGCTTCCGCGCGGCTGCCATGTCTGTGCAGTCAGGAATGATAAGTGAACCACCCGTGAATGTTAACGATAGTGATCATTCTGAGGTAACTCGGCTCTCCATCTTCCTTTACAGCCTCCAAGCTGAAGCCAGGGTAGCAAGGTTCACAGGAGGAAAATGAAAACAACAGTGAAGAAAAGAGGTAAAGCAGCACTTGGAATGTGCATCCACGAGCATGCTCTCTTACTTGGGATCCATTTCTGTAAAAGCGAGCACATTAAAAGGATAAGGTGGTTCTGCCCCAAGGACCACACTCAACCTCATCTAGTCAGTTTCCTTCTAGTAGGTTCTCAGTCCACCTCTTTACTTCCAGACAAATACAAAGCTTGGCTCTTACTTGGGTGTGCAGCCCTAGGGGGTTCTGAGTGACACACACACAGCATTCTGAAGGTAGAGTGCAGGAGCAAGTGGTCTCAGCACCCAGCTAGGCACGACTATTAAGTTGGGCTCCCATTTAATAAACAGAAATGGAGATCTGCTACCACAGTTTTCAACTTGACTTCCAAACACTTTGGGTTTTATGCCTCATTTCTTTACATTCAGTGCTTTTTTTTTTTTTTTTTTTTTAAATGGGCTTTCTAAAATACCTCTTGCAATATATCTTTTAAAACTGCTCTTATTCCACAGAGGGCATTGAGTTTGAGGCTGAGAAGACAATGGACTCATGGGCAAAGCATGTTGCCAGCCCTGCCTACCTTCCCCTGGACTGGGGCTTCTGTGGGGTAGCTAGCCAGGATGGACAAGTAGGTCCCACACAGATTCAGCATCTGGGCTCAGGACAGGGCATCCCAGGACACCGAGCAGAGACAGCTGCCCTCCTGCACCTCTGCGGGCTGCCTGTGTAGGTACAAGATGAAACTCCACATCAGAGAGCTGACTAAATGCTGCCAGGAGTGTTTCAGTCAATTCAAAGCTGGGTCCTGTCAAGTTCGCTAAGCACTGAAGAACGCACGGACATTTAAAAAGAGATTACTCACTCAAGGAGCTCAGTTCTGTGCCTGTGAAAAGCCACACAGTCACCAAAGAGGCTACTGGGGGAGGGGGGAGAGCATGAGACATATTCTGGCAATGTAGCCCAGACTGGCATTGAACTTGAGGCCTTCCTACTTCAACCTCTCAAGTGCTGGGTTTATAAACTTATGTGACTGCTTCAGATTTACTACAGTATTCTGAGACTATCGTTAGTCCTGGACAATGAGTGCTTTTCTAAGTGGTAAACCAAAGGTTACAGAGACACACAGGAAACACGATACAGGTCCTCATCCAAAAGCAAACTCTATACACAGACAGGGCAGAAAACCAATCAAGAAGGCAGTTCATTCAGAAGGAACGCACCCAGGCCGGAAGTGAAACGCCCTGTGAGCAAAAAGCAGTGATATATGAGCACTTCAGTTTCCCCCTGAGATGAGATCCCTTTACTTCAGAATTTTAAAAGGGTAAAATACACAACGCATGCTACGCACCTGGCACTGAGGGTGGCAAACAGGCAGAGGTTTTCCTAATGCTGGCTCTCTGTGTCTGCCTTGACCCAAATCATCACCCCAAAAGAAGAGGCCTCATACAGCCCCTCTCTGCTCTGGCTCCTACAAAGACTGTTTACTGGGAGGATGGATGGATAGAAAGGATTTCAACACCTATAGCAGCACAGGGGCATCAAATTATGTGATTAGCTGCTTGGTGGCAGCATTTAGGGGCACTGTCAGTAAGTAGTCATTGAACCAGGCATCAAAACCTCCCTGAAGGACAGCATTCTGGACTCAGTGTTCAAAGCTTTCCTTTGTCAGAGCAAAACTCAGCAGCAGCTTATTCCAGTGGTTTTGGGGGGCACGATGTCAGGCAATAGAAAATCATAGTCACACTTCAGGGAAATTAGGTGAGAATTAAAGAGTTCTTACACTTGTAAAATAGACATTGTTTACCACTTAACAATCCTCAAAATAACAGCAGCAACTACTGTTTACAGAACACTTACTACATGACCAATATTAGACCTGTATGAATGCATTCAATCCTAAAAGAGCACACATACCATTTTCTAGAAACAAGGCTGGTGGCATCAGGTAAGTCTTCTGAGGCAGAACTCACACTCATCCTATTTCGGGCCAAGAGGTCAACAAAATGGTCTCAAACATATGTATACAGTCTGTGGGAGGGAAGGCCAAAGCAGGCCATACATGGCTGCTCTCTGTATAGACATGGGACACAGAACACCAAATGAGCCACACCCAGGAGTCAGGGAAGCTTCCACAGGAGAGATGTCTTAGCGTCATACATGCCAGGGAGAAGGAGCAAGAACACTGAGACAGCAGCACACCCCACTGTAGAATACAACAGCTGGTTTAAAGTCAAGCTTTGCCTTTATTGAGTAAACCATATAGCTACTCTGGCTTCATTTCCTCACAGGCAAAATGGGATGATAATAATTCTTGGACTTGAAAGTGTTTGTAATAGCATCTGTCAAATAATACTTAATAAGCAATAACATATTAGCCATCGGCTGGTCTTTATTAAAAGTGATATATAATGTTTAGGCATGGTAGCATACACC